AAGCGGTGTGGATAAAGCGGTGTGCATGAAGCGGTGTGGATAAAGCGGTGTGCATGAAGCGATGACCCATATGAAGCAACGACACGAAACAACTCCCTCTCACTAACACGTAGACGATCAAACGGCAACAGTACACAAGCTGGACGCGCTCCCTCCACCACCTCTCAACGCATTTGTGTCTCCCCCCCACATCTTACCTCCCACTGGTACACTGGCTCCGATATGTGCGCCGGCGAGTACGCCGAAATGGTTGTGTTCCTCTTGGCTTTCCTAGTAGTCCTCTTACTGGGTTCATTCGAGTCCTGCGCAGCGGGCTCATCATTAGTGTGTTTCTGTTTACACTTATCCTTGTCCGGGGAAGCAGCTGCTTCTCCCCCCGGGGGCCTCTCCCCCTCGTGATCCATAGTCCTTTAAATCGTCACTGCCAAATTTAATTATCCAATTAGACCATCTCCCCCCCCTTGTTAAGTGATCCTCATAGTCATCTGAGCAATCCGATCCGGTTGGGAGCAATGGCCGAGCGGGTCACCAGAACAATTTTTTTTTTTTTTTTTTTTTTTTTTTTTTGCCAACATTTTGACGAAAATAGAACATATTAACAATATGTGGCAATTTTTTTTTTTTTTTTTTTTTTTTTTTTGCGCTCGAGGTGTAACACATTATAGCGCTCACTTTAGGCCATGCTTGGCTTCCCTTTTTTTTTTTTTTTTTTTATTTTTTTTTTGTGTTACAGCCTCTTCTGATGTGTCATGTGTGGGAATTTTTTTCGGCCCAACTGGGTCAGCGCAAGGGGAGGGGGGGGGGCTAGCCGTGCGTTCGGGTCAGTTTCGTTGTTCGGTTGGCTGCCTCTTCTCACAGCGCTATTTTTTTTTTTCTTTTTTTTTTTGTGCACCTGAAGATCACGTTGCACGATGCACGTCGCCCGCCCCCCCCGCCCCCGCTAGGCCAGTTAAGCATTAAAAGGGGCAACATTCTCATGATACGACAATCGTTTCGTTTTCATGGAAGAAGAAGTGTGAACGTTTGGTCGAAGAGGTAGAGGCCGACTCACAGCGTTGTGTCACACTGCGTTGCGCCACGCAGCCGGTGAAGCGGAAAAGTCGGAACGGCCATACGTAGAATATTCGTGGACTAATTCGACGTTGTGCAGTCGCCGCTTCTAATCCGTTAGTGTGAGAAGACCCCCCCTTGCGATGACCCTTCGAAGGGACCCCGCTTATCCCCCCTGAGAGCCACATCATGTTGCAGAGGTGCGCGGCGTCCTCTGCCCTTTCGCCTTTGCACTTGGTGTGCAGGCGCAGGGGCGCAGTGTATCGAATCAAAGTGAATTTGGCTCACCAACAGCAGAGGCAACACAATTCATGTAGCAACACCAGACACAGAAAAATAATTGTAATTCCGTGCAGCAAGAAGGATCAAACACTCCATTATAAAAACATCCCATTGTGTGTAGAGCTGCTGGATCGTAAAAGTAAAAAGGACCTCCTAGACATTTACAAGCTGGTGAGAAATGTACATGAGAGGAAGAATCTGCCCTCTGATTTTGTGCAGAATCTCTTTTTTTGCACGAAGAAATTTGTCCGCTGCCTACTGCCACACGAGTTTGTACGCATTTACAAAACAATGGTGGTCGTGGGGAAGAAGGACAAGGAGCTGAACTTACTTTTGCATCAACAGATGAAGAGGATACATGCCAATTTCGATGTAACCAGCATTAGTAAGCTCTTTCAATTATTTACATTTGCCAAGTCCAAGCCAGTGCAGTTGATAAAAATGCTGGCCGACACTTTCGTCAGGCGTCTGGGGGGTGAAGCGGCAAAGTGTGAAGCGGCAAAGTGTGTAGCGCCACGACAGCATGATCCCATCTCGCCAGACGAGTCGATCAAGGCAGACGACCCAGCCGTGCAACCCTGGCACGTGCGCGAACTGCTAGCCATTTTCTGCTTCTTCCGAATCGACTCGAAGGAACACATCAAGTCCATCTTCCACCTCTGCGCCCCTTGGATTGGGAAGAACGTGAAAAAATTCTCCCCCAAGGATGTCACCATCATTTTGTATAGCACGGTACAGTTGGGTAGGCAGGACCCCATCATCCTCAACGCTGTAGTGAAACATGTCGTCTTTAAAGGGGACGAGTTTCATTTTTTCCAGCTAGCTATTATCCTTAACTGCTTCGCCAAATTGGGAGAGAAGAATAACAAGCTGTGCAAAGTTGTTTGTGATCATGTAAAAAGGAGAATGCTTCCCGTGGCCACCCCAGCGGCTCACCCAGACGAAGTGGTAGAAATAGGTCCCACTGGTGTAGGAGCGGAGTGTATGACAAGTGCGCAGGGTGGAAGTGACACACCTGATCGACGACGTGGGTGCGAAGTCGACCATAGGAAGGACCCCCCAACTACACGCAGGCATAATGAAGGAACCTCTATTCATTGGGGATACCCCCAACCGAAGGACGTCTCCGTACTTCTGAACTCCCTGGTGAAGCTACAATATTACGACAATGCAACTTTTAACTGCCTCATCCCCTTCATCACAAGTCATGCTTCGAAGTTCTCCCCCCAATCACTCAGCAACTTGGTTCACGCCTACTCACAGATGCAAATAAAAAACACGTTGATGCTGGAGAAACTTTCAGAGGAATGTATTATAAAAATGAAAAAGTTTAAAAATATTGAAATGAGTAATTTGGCTAACTCACTTGTAAGATTGAATATAAAAAATAAAATTCTGTTCACCTACATGATAGATGAATTTTTATACAGAGCCACCATTGGGGTAAAATATAAAGGCTATAAGTTTGATGTGGTTTCTCTGCAGCAGCTGGCCTACTCCTTTAGCAAGGTGGGTCTGAGCGACGACAAGGTCTACGTCGTGCTCCACCGCTTGCTGCTTAGAAGCATCAGGCAATTGGGAAAAAGTGGCAAGCCGGGGCGTGCAGCGCAGCGTGCAGAGCAGCGTAACGACCCGCATGAGAAGCGTGCAGAGCAGAATGAGCGGCGTGACGAGCGTGAGCACGGCATCATTCCGAGGGGACCCCAATTCGACTTCCTCTGCCTGTCCACATTTGTAAACTCCTACGCTGCTGCAAAAATAAAGCCCAAGCACTTGTTCCACTTCATCAGCTACATTATAAGAGAAAAAAAAAAGAAAAAAGAATTAATTTCGAATCAGTCTTTGTGCTGTCTTGTGTACGGATTGGCAAAACTGGACCTCCCAGATCGGAAGCTTCATCAGTTGATGCTGAAGGAAGGTAGTGAACGGGTAGACACGCTCAAGCCATTTCAGGCTATACTTCTTTTGTACTCATTTAGCAAGCTAAGAATATATTCACGCATTTTTGTGAAAAGAGCAGTGCAGCTGTGTAGTCGGAACATCCACCAGTTAACCTTAGCTGATTTATCCTTAGCATGTTACTCTCTTTCAAATATGCTATACAGAGATGTGATATTTTTGTATAAAGTCGCTAAAATTATTCTTGTTAACCAATTCAAATTGGAGAAGACCAACGTGTGTCAGCTGTTTAATTCCTTCACCAAGTTGTGTTTTTTCTACAAGCCAATTTACCAGCTGGTGTTTCAACGAATGGTCGTCTGCATGCACGACTTGGGGGAGAAGGAGCTGGCCAACCTCGCGCTCTCCTTCGCCTACTACTTTCACACGGTTAAGCTCAGCCTTTGCGAGGGGGAGCAGCGGTTAGAGAAGCAGCAAGAGAACGGCAGCCACCTCCTGCAAAGCCACCCGGAGCTCTTCTTCAAAAACGAACTGAACATCTTTTTTAACCTCATATTTCTGCTAAACGAAAAGCACCGCCAGCACATATCCATTATAAGTGTCCAGCAGCTGCAGATTGTCGACCTGTACCTCAGAGCATTTTTTCCCAGGTACTGCGATTGTCCAGCATTTTTAAAAACATTTTTTGTGAAGGTCAGAAGTGTGAAGCTACGCATCGATGATTATGTGATTATGTCGTCGAGGACACACCGAAACGTGTCTCGCTTCCTGAGCCTTGTTGGCGTTGCACACAGGAGCGAAGTGCAGTTCGGCCCATACCAACTGGACATCGTGGTGGACTTCCTGCAGGATAAAAAAAAAATGAGAGGAGTTCCCCCCAACGTGACCATTCCCCCCAACGTTGACGCACCCTGCAACGCTGACGTTGTTTATAAAACGAAAATGCTGGAGGGACAGAACATCGTCGCAGAAAGCAGCCATTCCGAAAAACCCAATACATACAACGTGATGGAAAAAAAAATAAAAAAAAACATCCTCGTTGAAGTGGATGGAGTGTCTCACTTTTACAAGGACAGCCACAGTAGGACCATAAACTCCATTATAAAAAATTTCATTTTAAAAAAATGCGGCTGGCACATAATACACGTCCCTTATCAGGAATGGAATCAGTGTGTTGATTTCAGGAAGAAGCTTCTGTACGCAGTTCATGTGTTGCGACACATTTTGCGCATCAACAGGGAAGACATCTCCGTGGGGGGTTTCCTGCACCTTTTGGGGGACCACCGTCCCGTACAGGGAGAAACGTACAGAACGACAGACGACACGTGCGCGCCTAACAATGAGGAACAAGTCAAATGTGTAGAAGCGGGAAGAAGCACTTATATGTATGAAGAGGCGGAGAGTGGGGCGGACGAAGTGGACACTCCTCAGTTTTACACCGTCAGCGAAGAGGAGCTATTCCGCAATCAGACGAAGAACCGAAGCAGACATCAAAAGGGGCTAATGGAGAAGATGCGCCAGGACAACCAACTCAGCTACCACTTTAACATTGCACGCGAAGGGGGATAGCGGCGATGAGCACCCTGTTGAGATAAGAACAGATGTACTGTCTCAACACCTGTGCGACTTTACACGTGAGGCCAATTTTTTTTTTTTTTTTTTGTGACATTTTCCCTTTTTTGCACAATGGGGGCACGACAGGCAGCGTAACTTAATAGCGCTGTTTCCGCCCCCCGATGGCAACTCCCCGCACGTGTACGCATCTTACAATTTTTACAGCGAGACTTGCTGTTGGATGGTTGGTTTCACCACCCGCATCCGGCTCCACCCAACATTACCAATCAGTGTTTGTTGCGTACATGTAGACATGCTTTGTGTTTGACCTGTCATATAACTCTTCTCCAACGAAGACGCAGTTTTCATCCCTACGACAACTGCTACCATGTGTGCCATGGGGAGAATCATCTTAAAATTTAATTAAAAGTTCGATTAAGTGGCTCCCATATGTTCCACGGTGAAGGCAACAGAAAAAGGGGGAACGGCGCGCCCCCTCCGCGTGTGCTGCGCGAGTGTTTCATGCAAGGGGACAGTCGCTTCACCGATTTGCTGCCTTGCCGTCCCCTCCTCAGTACTCGCCAATCTTGGGGGCCAGGAAAAAAGTGAGGTGCGAGCTGTCCTGCAGATCAGTCAGGGCTTGCTTGAAGTTAAACTTGATGGACACGGGGATGTTAGGAGACAGCGAAATGTACACCTCGTCCGAAAGAGAAGAGGCTCGAGAAAACATCACAAGATATCTCGTGGCAAATTCTTGAGACACCGACTTAGAGCAAGTAATGGAAACATCAGTCATGTCATTTGTAAACTGTTTAGTCACTTTTATGTCTGCCCCAGTGGTACTCAAAATCATTGTGTCCTTCTTCATGGAGATCGCAACATTATCTCCTATAGAATTCAAATACTTTGTAAACTCCTGAAATTTTTTCGACTTCATGGTACACTGGCAATGGTACTCAGATTGTGGAATTTCCAAATGCTCTTTCTGCGTGTTAATTAACTTTACTTGTATTTCGAGGGAGTCCTCCGTGTTGGACTGCTCCTCTTCGTCGATTATACCTATGTTCAGCACCGCTTCATTGTCATTGTCCTCTTTAAAGAGGAATACTGTTGACTTCTCCTTGATCACAGACAAAATCTTCAACATGAAGTTGATGCTGATGCCGAGCACGCAATTTTTGTCACACCTGTGAGGGGGGTAGGGGAAGCGGGTAACATTATGCACACGTGTATCTACTGCATAGCTGTCTTGTTGGGGAAAAAAAAAATTATGAACGAGTCAGGCAAAATTGTGACAAGCCAAAAGGAGAACAAAAACTAGCTAAAATGGTGTGCAAAAAAAAAAAAAAAAAAAAAAATATGTAAACTCCCACGTGAACGAGAGAGAACATTCTCCACGTTGCAAACCTGTAGTGCTGGAAAAAATCGGACATGATGTTCAGGTCCACCAGAGACACATGGCTGCAATCCATCGACTGCATCTTTATCCCATTTTCGTCACATTCCAAGTTCACTTCCGTGCAAATATCCTTTAACGTTTCGAACAGCTTTTTGAAAAACTGTCCATCAATTCTGCACTCAAACATTTTTGCGGGGGTGTGGGGGACGAACCGGAGGAGGGAAGCTGCAGGGTGGACGTGTGTATATGTGGAAACGGGGGCTGCCCGAGTACTATCGTCTGTAACTACCGTCTGTGCTGCCGCCTACCCTTCGAGACGCACGTGCTCTTTGAAAGCCTTCTCCCGTGCAGCCCAAAGCTGTTAACTCAACATGTCATAATGCTGGCTGAACTACGTGGTACACGTGGCTTAATTGTGGCGTGTGTGTGATGTGTAGCCAGTGGGAACAAAAGGTGAAACGCCGAGGAAAATTCACTGCAGTATCTTTATCGCAAAGAAAGGTGATACTGGTGAAATATCCTAACAGGGGAACAAAAAAAAAAAAAAAAAAAATTGCGCAACGAAATTGCTTTTATCTCACACAAAAAAGGGATAATGCAATATAATGGGAGAGTACACAAATCAGCAGCAGGAGATCTCTTTCTTTTTTTTTTTTTCTGGGGAGGAAGAGAGGCTAAGAACGTCTCATAAATTGTGTCAATATTTTCGCTAAACCTGTTTGTGGAATCACCGAAAAGGATCGCTTATTATGCAAAAAAAAAAAAAAAAAAAAAAAATTCGAGGATGGAAAAAACACACATGTGAATTGAGTAAGCTCTTTATCTCGCAATGCGGATGGAGCGTTAAGGGGAAAAAAATTCCTCGGTGTTTCTTCCCTTCGCGAATGCACTAGAGCAAACTGGTGTGTGCAGTGGGGGAAGGGCCTTTCTCATGACGTCATAGGGGCGCCGGCAAGCGTCCCCTCTCCCATTAGTGCTCCAGCAATGGTACTTCTTCACGATGCCTTCGCGAAAGTGCCACCACACTTACACACAAAAATTGGGGAAACACATTGTGAACCATATCTAAAGGAAAGTGAATTCATTTCGACACATCCAAGGGGGGAGGGGGAATTGGGAAAAAAAAAAAAAAAAATATATATATATATATATGACATGTAACACGTCACACGTAATGACGGCGGAACACTGGAGACTAACAGCAGGGAACCCTTTGGAGAACAAAAATGAAGGCACACGGAAATGTGTTGAGGGTGAACAATGAGTTGGCGTGAGGCATACACTAATTTTCGGTAACAACTTCCCTTCATTTGTGTGCATAGTTTGGGGACACTTCCACACCAGAGAGTAATTCAACGCAAAAGGGAGTCTTTCCAGGGGGTGCCAAAATGGGAAATACACGAACCTTTTTTCGTTTGCATGTCAAGAGCGGATGGTTATTCCCTCATTGGTGGATAAAACGGCTTTGTTTTTTTTTGTTCTCTCTCGGCCAGGTCGCTTGGTACATGGGCAAAGCGATAGGTCGAGCTAAAGTGATGGGGGCGTGTGTCTATTTAAGCATATATGTTTTTTCTTTTTATTATTTGCTCAATAATCACTCCCCTTTCGGAATCAGCCAGCGCGCTCTCTTCACAAGCTGAACACAACTGTGCTTGTACAAAAGGGTACGCAACGGGGGAACCCCCTATCCAGTGGTGGAACCGATTTGCCATTTGGACGGCCCCGCCTCCTTCATGCCCGAGCAGTAAACAGGAGTGACAGTGGATGAGAAATCACCAACTGGTCTGCAGAGGAACGGGCTGCTTAAATATGTCCTGCACCATCCGGGATAACTCCAGATGGGCCACGACTAGCGAGAAGGAAAAAGAGGCAGCGCTGAACTGGATAGGTGATCGGGTGAACACCCACCCGGCGATAACGAGAATGGGAATGTAAAATCGCTTAACATTGTGATTGTGTGTTGATGATGAGTTGGTCATTTACAAACAAGGATGGCATCTCCCCTGAGTATGCCTCTTCTCCAATTGGGGCCAGACGTAACGGTATTTTATTTGCTGTAGTCACTTCATGTTGCGCAATTCGTTGTTGCTTTCAACATGGAGGAGAATGCTCTTCCAAAAAAAAAAAAAAAAAAA